GTTGCGATCCGTTGCCGGACACGGAAAAAGACAAAAGACAAAAAAAAAAAAAAAAAGAAACAAAATTTTGTGTTTTTTATTATGTGTATATTTACATACATATATAAACATTCTTTACACATACATATGTAGAAATTATATGTAATGTAGAAATAAATTAAACTGAATTTGTTTTTCACACCAAAGGTATATCTCACAGCCTTATTGTTATATTCTTTTTTGTTTTTTCAAAGTCTATGTATAGGTTTATTTTTGATACCATCTTTTTAATTTTTATCAAGGATGCTGGAGAAATGGTTCGTTCTTTTGTCGGTGGTTTGGAACTTGTTGTCAATTTACTGAAATCAGATAACAAAGAAGTTTTGGCGAGCGTGTGTGCTGCTATTACCAATATAGCAAAAGACCAAGAAAATTTAGCTGTTATTACAGATCATGGAGTCGTTCCTTTGTTATCCAAACTGGCAAATACAGTAAGTAACACATCTTTTTATTTTAAATGTATGCTGTCATAAGATATCATGGTGTAGTGGCAAAAACAATGAGCTTAAAGTCCAGATACCTGGATTCAAGTTTACTGTCTGTCACTTATAAGGTATGAGATTTTGGTCAACTCATTTAGTTTCTCTGAGGCTAATACATATGAAAGTGTATTTTAAACTATAAAATGTTAATATGCAAGATCCTTGTAAAACAGAGGCTATTTTTTATTTGTGACTGGCAAGTAAAGTGGTGGCAAATACAAGTGCTATTATGTAAGTGTTAACTATCATCTTTACCACCATCATTATTATTTTTAAGATAGCCGCTCATGCCAGCATTAGAAGTTAAATGAGCCTCTGCAAGCTTAGCAAGCTTGGGTCAATGGCATCCTCGAGCTGGAAGACTTTGGCAATCACTGTATTGTTTATCCAGAGCTGGGCCAGATGGAATAAGCAGCCTTGAGAGACAATGACTTCACCGAGACCAGCAGCATTTGAGCATAGCTTGGACTACCATTTGGCAAAAAAGTCACAGAGCAGAAATTCAAACATTGGAAGCTTGGTCTAGAAGACTTCGAATTCCTAAGCGTATCTGCCAGATTCAGTTAAGGACACCAAGTTGTTGCCCGAATCGGGAGAACAGTACAATTAATAAACAGAAAACTAAATCCTTTCAGTTAATATTACACCTCTATGAGGTAATCACGTACAAAAAGAAGGATAGAGTCTGCATGAAGAATACAGAAAGGAAAATGGAAGGCCCAGAACTTGCCATTATATTTTCTGCTCTGTCTTCTGCCTCTTGAGAACCAAGATGTATTACTCATGCACAAGGATTCCTATGGTGAAAAAGCAGAGTTAATCCACTTA